GGAGCGTCGATGCCGGTGATGGCTGCTGTAGCGCGACAGGGATCAAGAGGCCACATAAAAATATGGTGCCGAAGCCTGTTCCGCAAGCCGACGATCACGCGGCGCTAGTCGTCAATAAGGCCTCGGACAGACCGCAAGGCGTGATCACCGCCATTATAAATAGCCATGGTAGCTTCTTGCAACTGGCGGTAACACGCCGTCGCGACTCCGTGGATAGCTGCTTACAGGGCTCGAGACTCCGCGATTCGACCAGTAAGTCGAGCGATTTCGCGGTCCCGCGCTTAGATCACCACTTGAAAGCTGTAGATAATCCGCTCCGCCAGTTCGGGGCTCGACAGCAGGCATAACCCAGCCCACGCAAGGACGTACCTCAGAAGTGTACACGTATCTAATACTTAAAAAAATCTGTTCTGTATTGACTATCTGTTATGCTATACCTGATTGCAAAAGGACTATTGAGTGATTCTCCTTCATCCCCCACCAATCTTCATATAATAATACACAGTGGGATGGACTAGTCATCATCTTGCTCTCTCTTCGGGCCTTCCCTCGTCAAGTCTTAGCTCGTCGAGTTATCTCTCGTTGCTTCAAGTCTTGTCTTGTCCCGGCGAGTCTTGTCTCGGCGAGTCTTGATTCGTCGAATTCGGTAACTTCCGTCTTCTCCTTCCGAGTCCAACAATTTTGTATTTAAGTCAACAGTCGGAAATACCACGTTCGGAAAGTTCCCTACATGAGAGATGTCTAAATCTCCTGGATTATCGACTTTTTTCATACATATAAACGTAAAGAGCTAAAAGCATTATCAGATTGTCACACAATTATTCCTTGCCGCTACGTAGGTATTATCGGTTTATATATTACATCCAGCCCGAGGCAATATAAGGTGGTCTCCGACGAATCCGTCTGTGAGACCCTGGATGAACACGGTAAAAAAATGTTTTTAAATGGAAGGGATTAGTCTATAGCAACTCGCAATGTAGCGAAACCGCTGAGCGGAAGGTCGCACATCTCGCCCACCCTCCTTTAATTTCAGGAGCTCTGACCGAGCCCGATCTCTGGTCTTGGCAGATTAATCGATTGCATGGGCCGGAGCTTCAATACCTCTGTCTTTTTATAAAGATGCGTTCGTGTAGCTAAAGGTCAAAAGATCAATTCCTGAACAGTCCAGCTCGGATATATTGAGCGAATAAAGACTACTTTCGCTCGTCCTCGATTCGTCGAACGTACATGGATATGTTTAGTTCGACATATTATCTTGACAAGAGTTTCTCCTCGACTTTCCGGTTGTTTTAGATGTCTAAGTATAAAGTGTTGGATCGGCGCGCGTGCGCCGGCCCCATAGAATATAACTGATCATGCTGTTGTCTCAGATGCTCTGACTGCTGAAGCACCGTGCAGGTGAATAAGTTATCTCATCTTGAGGCGCATCAAGTTCAAGTGTAAAGAGTTGGGAATGGCTGAATGTTCGTGATCTCTAATCAAATACGTATTTGATGACGCAGATATGATCTTCGCCTAGAGTGGAAGTCATTCCTTCGATCGCACTCCATTTAATCTCACTCATATTGAGAAGCTTTTACTCATTATGTGAAACATGTCATCGTCGTCCAAGATGAGCATGTTGGACGATCCATGTGGTCCTTGGAAGGACGAAAAAGGGCTAACACGTGCAATGGGCACCGACAGTCACGTACCGGGTTCACAGTACGGCGGAAACTATTACTGACAATAGAAGGTTATAGTACCTTACCACCTCACATGTACCACATAGGAAGGCTAAATACTAAGTCGATGCTACTTCGTAGTGGTAAGGGTAAAACTGTATACAATAATCACTATGTCTTAAAAATCATCCATTAATCAGTCCAAACTTATTTGAATTATTATTCTAACATGCATCGTTACGTCTACTCTCCACCGTTGCGCGCGTCGAGCATCGATTGGTGTGTTGATGCCATTTCATAAATAATCCAACGACTAGAGCATTGGGTTGCTGATAGAATGCCACACTGTGCAGTAATTTATAAAAGATGAACAGTAAATGTTATATCCCAATATTATCAAACCTTAGAACCATCATATTTGTAACGGGTTCGCCCCGTTACAATTTCTGTATCAGCGCGCGTGGGAGAACAATATATATGGCCTAAACCGCTTTCTTTGTTGCTCTTCAGCTCCGTGGTAGTTTTTTGAGAGAAAGTATGAGCAGGATCAACATAATCGTGCATCCATTCATCCCAAGATAAACAGAGAAATTTGATGAAGGAAGGTGGCCACTTTTCTTGCTCGGCGGTAGATAGAGCTCTCTGCATTTTTATCAATACTCCTCTATCAACTTCATGTCGTTGATCTTGCTCTGCATTGGTTTCGCTGTAGAATGAGAAAGGTAGGCTGTTATCTTCTTCTAAACATAAGCAAAACGAACGAGTTGCTTCATCACGCAACAATCAAGGCAGTGGACCTAACAACGCACAAATCATCACCGACCGCAAGCGTCAACAATTCAAAATGGGTGCGCGAAATATATAACCCATGTTTCATTCTCTAATCTAGATTATGGGAGCCGCTAGTCACTCACTCACTCTTCGCTAACCACCACTCACCCCTTTATAATAAAAATCTGCACACTTCTCTCACGCTGTAATTGGCTAACTGTAAATTGATGGAAAATAGGTACTAAGCGCAAATTTGACATGCGAAACTAAATCTCCTCGTTGAAAAGTAGCCATGCGCTAAAGCACTTTTTATCGTTCACTGTAGTATAATCGTCTCTCACTAGCGCTACCATGTCTAGGTACTGCTCCTTTACGTTTGACGGATATCCAAAGTCCTTCCTTTCTTCCTCAGCGCCTAGTTCAGTATATGGTACTAATGCAGTCTCTATGGAACTTGGTAAAGGTTGTTGACATCTTCTTCTGTTGTGTCCTGCTTCCTTGCACTTGCCGAATCGACGTACAGGCCTTAAATAATCTTAACGACCTCAAACTGCGATGGATCCCGCTGAGAAGAGCTCACCGATTGATGTCCAAGCGATTGATGACCAAGATCACCAACAGGACGCCCGCAGCCATACTGGATTGATGAATTGAAGACATCCGCTGCCAGCAGCACATCCAGATGGTCAAGTATATCTTGCTACCTGTACGAGGTTCCCACTTCATTTTCTTCTTGAATGAGCTTAATGTTTTTCGCAATTGAGGTGGGTGCTTCATGCATTTCTTTTTGTCGAGGAGGCTGCGCCGACCAATAGTGTGAATCAAAATCTCCTAGGATTAGAACCCTTGACGGTCTGGATGGTATTGTTGCTGCTGCCTCTGCTGCTTCTTGTCAGAACTTGTGCCGACAAGGCACTGCAAGGTTTAAAGTAAACATGCCGTGACATTCCACATTGTTTTACCGTTGTTCTCCATGGATAAACCGAGTCAACATGTACTCTTTAACTGCGATCTATAAAGCTGCAACAGAGATTTTGCCGGTCACAGCAGAAAATGACGATCCGTAGCCGAGACATGTGGACGCCCGTTCCCGGCCTGTTTGCAGTCTGATATTCACACGCTGATTATCACCAGCAAGCAGGCAATCACTTTCCACAGTCAACGAATCCCCCGTAGACACAGTTGTCCATGACTTGAATGCTGCGTGCGCGCTTTCAATACGCGAAGTTGTTGTATGAGCAAAATGCAGCGTATCACATATGAACGCTGCTACAAACCGGTCCTTGTAAAGACGCTAAGTTTCTTCAAGGTGAACCATGACATGGCGATAAAAAAATTCTTCCATCCTAGTCAATTGTCGTTAGTATGCAACTGCCGTTTTCGATCGCACCAAGCTGTTCCAGTACTCATCAAGAACTTTAGAGGCTACAAAAACCAGTAGTATGTGCCGTGTACCATTAAGGTAATCTTGCGCACATTATGCAGCCATGAAAAAGTACGCAAAGTTAAATGTTTGGTGCTTGGCTGTGACTCCCACAACGTGCATCGAAGGCATTCCAAAACGATTGGTATTGTACGTTGAGTCGATCAACTAAACCTTCCTAACGCTAAATCGGCGGCAAATTACTTTGGCGGAGGGTGAAGTAGTCATTCGGTGCGTCATTTCTCGTTGGACCAAAATTTAGCAATGTATAGTGCATCAGGGCGGTCTACTAGGTCATCAAATAGAGCAACAATCGTGGGACGACCAGCTAGGATGCGAGCCCGTTCTACTTGCTTGACATTGTATATATCTCAGGGGGTTGTCGTTATATCACGACGGCGCATTGCAGCCACTACTCGGGCAGGTTTCTACCGATCAACTGCAGCTTGAATTACTTCTTTGCGTTGCTCTTCAGTCAGCGCGCGTCCTTGTGCATGAACGGATGGGTCGGTAAAGGCTACGTAATTTTGATCGTGGATGCCTACTTGAACTTCCCAGTGAGATTCTTGTTCAACCCGTCGAACAGAACTTGTGAACATTCAGCCTGTCCCACGTCAGGATCGAACATGCTTGCGTTGGTTAAATGCGGAGCTTGCTACTTCTTTTGGTGCGCATGAACACTGCAAAGTAACAGCTTCGATATCACTTCCTTTCTTGCTCCCGGCTCGCCTAGTGTGCAGAACATTCACAATGTATCCTCATCAGCAAAAAGTGAATTTGTAGCAGCACGCGCAATTTCTAGACTAGCATAGATGGTATTTTATGTTAATGGTAACGATCCATGCCGATGTGGGCGCTGTTTTGAATGTTGGTGTCTGTACAAGCAATCGTTGGTACCGATCAAAAACATTAATCGTGTGATCAATTCTTATTTAATTTGCCATTTACAGTTTATAAAATGGGGGTGAGTGGTGGTTAGCAAAAAGTGAGGGGTGAATAGCGGCTCCCTCGATTATTTATTGATAGTGCAATCTTTGAGATTGCCCGTATGTATTGCTCCATGTCTCAGATAGCTCGTCAAGCATCCGCAGCGAAGACAGAAATATTGAACCACGCACATGGGCAATAACAATCGTGTTATGTTACTCCAAAGCCGCCGGATCGGTCTTCAACATAGCAAATTGATCAAGGATGGACTCGTCGGCGCTCGAAACATATTTCCACAGCAATGTCGTGCGATTGGCGTGCAGAATTGTGTACCCGAAGTGCTTGTACTCTGTCACAGCATTCCACGAGGCACCATGCTTCGGTGGGTTCGACAGACCTTCCGACTGACCGGCTCCACCCGTTAAGATGTGAACGGGAGCTTTTGGGTTGTCGTACAACGTGTGTTTCGCTGACACGCCGTCCATCACAGCTTTGTTTTTGGCTACCGGTAGGTGCCGCTCGTAGTAGTGCTTGTGCCCAGTCAACACCACGTCTACTTTGTACCGAAGCAGGAGCTTTTCGAACGCTGCATGGACGTACCGTGTCTGCCCGATTGGTTCGTCATTTAAGGAGTCAAGTACACTGTAGATCGGACGATGCATGCCAACGAAAAGCCACGGCACCTTGTCTCGGTTCGCGTCCGCTTTTTTCAGGTCCGCTTCAACCCATTTCAGCTGATCCCCAAAGCCTCCGTACTTCTTGTTCGGAGCAACTTGGTTGGAAGGCGCGTCTGGGTAGTCCGTTTCGGTCGACAGCGACGTGAAGTGGATCGGGCCGTGGTCAAACGAGTGCCACATATTCAAAGCACCACCGCTCTCCTCGCTCGGCATCTTGAAGCGCGTGTTGTACGCAGCGTAATTTCCCAACGCCTTCCGCTTTGCACTGGATGTCATGCATCGTGGCGAGTGGCACTCTGCCTCGTGGTTCCCCACTATCACCATGTACGGGACACGGCTCATCAGCGGCATCATCGAGTTCATCCACTTGTTGTACACTTCCTCGTAAAAGAACCCTGCGGCTTGATTGAGGGTCAAGTAATCGTTATCGGCGTACGCGATGTCGCCGAGGTGGTACACGAGGTCGATGTTGTGCGACGTGAGTTTGTTGATGCTTGCAATCGTGTCGACCGAGTTCTTGCCGTCTCCGAGGTCGCCATAGATGAGCACGCTGAACGAGCTGTTGTCTGTGGCGGCTCGGGCAGTAACGAACGAACTGACAACACTCGTGTACTTGTCGTCGCTGAGACTTCCCACCTTGTAGAAATATCTCGTATGGGGCTTGAGACCCGTGACTGTCGCGTGGTGGTGGAACAAGTTGTAGTCGTTATCGTTGTAGTAACTAGTGCCAGACACCGGCGTGTCGACCAGCTTGAGCCTTTTCTTGGACTTGCCCACCCACACGGCGCTGTCCGTCACCGGCTCGAAGGTCGCCCACGACACCGTCATTGCTGTGCCCGCCACCTTTCCTGCGAAAGCCAAGTGGATCTGCTGCGGGTAGAAGTTCACCCCGCTTTTCACCCGGCAGCTCTGGTCAAAGTCGAGGTCGCCAATCTCGAAATTCAGCTGGCACAAACCCTCAGGCATGCAGACATCGCGGACCTCCTCCCAGTAGCACGTGTGGTCATCGATGATGAGACTTGCGCTAACGAGAAAGACAGACACCACGACCGAGCAGAGCGGGAAAGTGAATGCGAACATCCGGGACGACTACGCGACGCGTGAGGCGAATGTTTGTCGTCCTTGAAATAAGTGGCGATCGATGTCGTGCTGAAGGATGCGAACGAATAGTAGTTTTTGGAAGCTGCCTGCTACAGCAAATGGTGGGAGCAGATTGATCGGGAAAAAGCGAGTCACACGGGGAGGGGATCGACAACGAGAACGTTCTTCTGCGCGCCGGTAAATCATCTGTTCGCAGATCACACGGGGGGATCAGGCCGACCAGGTTTTGTGTTGACAGTCGTCGATTTTTGGCGACTGATGCAAAAACAGGGCAAAGAGCATGCCGCTGTCAAGGGAGCACGCGTGAAAACGTTAGAATTATGGTGCACTAACATTGACTCAAGTTTGTTTTAGTCTCGCGTCAACTAACGCGTTGTCATTAAAATAGTGTCCGTGTGACAGAGCATAGTATTCCTTGTAAATTTCGACCCGCCACAATCAGGCTATCAAACGGATGAGTACCGCGTTCACGTCGGTTCGCCAATTGCCACAAAGTTGACGGCCACATGCCCGCTATAAACTTGTCGATCGCAATGCATCTCAGCGTGTCTGTAATGCAAATCCACTGCAACTATGATTAGCCACGTCTCTGCAGAGACCGGAGTGTTTGCAGATGTAGTATCGAGGAACATATGACCAATCAAAGAATGCGTAGGGTAGTACGAGTCGGGTCAGCCATTGGCCATTCTTCAAGTACTGGCTTTCTTTACAAGAATGGTGCGACATGGCATCATATTGAGCTGTTTATTTTTGTCAGAACTTACCGCCAAGAAGAGATATAAAATTGCAAGGACAAGATGAACTTTTTTTGTACGCTTTGCTTTATCTAATGGGTTGGTAGAGATCCTATTGTAGACATCAGGCAAAATGCGGATAGTTAAGCTTCCCACGAGCTAATGCGATGGCCGATGTCAACCGACTTTTCTATAATCAGGATATGACAAGTGTGAGTCCAAAGGGCACGAGTTTTTTATAGTTTCCTTTATTTAAAATTGCTTAGTAAAAACTAGCCCAAACCCGTCCTACTCATGCAAGGGTTAAATTGCGTAATTGCAACAATGACTCTTTTACCGATATCAAACTGTGCGAGATGATTGGATGTGTCGCGCACTGTTTCGTACGCGTAAATGAGTACAGCTTTTGCCGGGACTGCAACATACGTTTGCCGGGCACAAATGTCACTTTTATGTCCAGTACCGGTCGGTATTAATAAAGATATTTTTTCCAGGTTTCATTTCTATGTATTAATTGTACAAAAAGTCACAAGTCTCTTTAGAAATATCCTGGAAATGAGGGAAAGCATTGCAAGATTTAAATATACGCTGGATTTTCAGAATTATTCCAATTGGACAATAAAATCTGAAAAAGGTCATATTTATGCACGAATAAAAACTTATCTTCGACCGGATACAAAAATATAAAACTTCACATTGATCGATTTCGACATTTTCATGAATATTTACATAGATATTGCTCTAACGGCATATAAATAGCTTTCCTAGCATAGAAGAGCGCCATTGTAGTATTTTCGAATATATGTCACTTACTTTGTATTAGCTAAGCTAAGACAAGCGAACGTCATTGACACGTAAAATGTAACCTTATCAAGGCACACATCGTTTTGCAATGTCCTCACAGTTGGAGCGACCCCACTACAAATGTCACTAACAAGCAAAAACTAACGCGACGTTATTGGATTTTGTGGGAACAGAGACGATCGAGATGCCACGCTTGTGACCATGTAAAATTCCGCTGCAGCTGGCGACAAAGCGTATCCGTCCTTATAGAATTTGAACGACAAACTTTAGATTCAGACTGACCTTACCAAAACCGTCAGCAGTATCTTTTTTGTAAAAACCGTTACACTTCTTCAGAACAGCGTGCATTTTGCGTGCAATCATCTCATAAAAATTTACGTGATACCTGCCAAAGACCAAATTTATCCAATAGCTCTCTAGTATCATTACCCTTCTCGACATCAGCTGAATATCTGTCAATTTGTGCCAGCTCAGGCCGTACTTTTTAAAACTTAGCAGCTGGTGTACGGACCATTTATACACGGCGCTATTGTATCGTATATTTTTTTGAAGAATCCGCCAGAATGTCGAGACGTCAAAAAATAACGAATACTTTATATTTACGCTATAGGCCCCAAACTTCCTTTTATTTTTAAAATTAATTGTCGACCAAAAACGTTGATCACGGTTCTACTTTGCCAACCAAGAAAGGATAAAAACTAGATCTGAGTGTATGTGAGTGACTGATATTAATAATGTGAATATCCAGTCGTTAACACACACCAGGAGTGGAATGAGCTCATCATAATCTGGTGCACTATTTCTATCTATCATATTAATTCTTTTTATCGTACCTTGACGTATATAGTTTCGATATATTGGATTTATAATTGGGATGCGTTATTCATAACTCACCTTTCGTTAACCAGCATCCATCCCACAAATAAGGGCTTCTAATTGGCCCACGTGGCGAATCAGAAATTAATATTCAACGACTTCCCTGACCCCTAACAACAACCACCTTGCACTACCATTTTGACCACCTATCTTCTCTTTTGACCCACAATAAACATCCTTGCACCCCCTAATACCAGTTCTTTGCCGCACGCATTAATCTCTCAAACAGAGCAAATGCATCGTGTTCAACAAACTACCTATCTTGTATTGGCACTACAAAACTATCCATAACTTGATCAGTATTAATTCTCTAAGTCACTTAACGTGTAACGGGGTTTCACCACATGTGTGACTTATTAAACATGCGTGAATTACATAACATGTGTAATTTACACAAGTGGCAGAGTCCCATTAAAGATAATATTAGAACACAATATCGATTGTCGAAGGCTGACGCGTGTCAGCCACCGAATGAGGAGATCCTTTTAGAGGTATTGATTAGAACATTAGTGTTTATGAGTAGGTAGGTTTGTTAAGGTGTTCTTTTAGATAAAAATAATAAAGTCCATTCCCTTTTTCATCACTTAAGACACGTGATTCGCGAGACGTCTTTAAACGTTAGGAGATAGCAACATCTGTGAAGGTAGCTGCACCTGAGTACTCTGTGCTATGATTCTTTTCAATCGTTTGGTTCTCTGGAACAAGGACCGTAAGCTCTCGAGCTTAATGACCCTCTATGTCAGGTTCTCTAAACCAAAGTTGCTCGTTGAGCGTTAAGTATTCCGCTAACTTAAGGAGCTGTGTAGCTCCGCTACATAACGGGGGTGGATGTTTCAAGAAGTACCTGCCATATGAGGTTTTAATTTGTCAAAATCACAAAATTTAGACTTCTAGACCTACTACTGCCTGGAAAACGACCGGTAAAGCTAAATCTACAGGTGTTAATGGTATCGGTTTACGACAGATGCGGTAATTATAGACGGTCGTTTGGCAGATACGCATCGTCGGAGCGGCAATGTTATCGTAAGCAGCATCTACATGCTCAAACAGCCATTTTAATCCCTGTGTTGCCCCCGGTGGAATATCACGTGTCTGCACTCCAACAGGATCACGTATACCGGTTTCAGGGACTGCCAACCACATGGTCAAGGAGAATGCTATTGAGATGGTTCGTGGAATCGGCATATACGTCTATATTATCGTTAATGATGTCTGGATTGCAATTGGAGAGGGCACGACCGTGACATCCTTCAACATTGGTGGCTGGACCAGCCGCCAATGTTGATTGAAATCATTGACCAACTATGGTTCAACTCGATGACGAAATTCATGGGCACAAGGATAGCCCATTGTAGATATCAACAAGCCAAACACTAAAAGTTAGCAGACTGTCGCAGTCATTCCAAGCAAACTTGTCGAAGTCTACATACCTTGACAATTCCCATCATCTTCAAGCCGCTACTTGTATTGATGATGAGCATCATGCAGGCCTGTTACCCTAATCTTTCCCATCACCGGTGAGAACATCGGATAAAGCTGCATGTTTACAATGGCACGCTGCGTTGCATTTTACTGAACGACAACAGTAACATGACCCTCACACGCAAGGTGAAATGCCGAACCCACTGAAAGTAGATCACCTGCATCAAATGAGCTGTCAGAAATACACGGGAGATAATGATTAATGTATCATACAACTCACCCATTTACACACCAATCTATTTCGTGAGAGCAGCATAAGCACTATCCACGCGTGAGGTCGTTACGTGGCCATAATGGCATTTATTGCGAAGGAAAGCAGAGACAAATCTTTCCCTGAATGTAAGCCAAGTCGTCTAACATAGCGCATAGAGGCTGCAGGGAGTGTGACATGCATTAACCCAAATTGCTTTTCATTACCTACCGTAGTTGTGGAAGCAATTAATCTGTTCCAAGCTTTAATGATCACTTCCCAGGTTATCAATGTATCGAATGTTGACCTCTTCTTGGTCATAATGGTTTTGCTGGTATGCCAACGGTATAGCAAGTAATGTGCGTTCGAGAAAGTCTCGGCGAGCGGTTTCATCTGTGTAATCTCCCTATTAGTGACAAAGGTGAGTGCTGTGACTAGTCCATACGCATAAGAAACTTCCTGGAATTGGCGCATTGTCCACCAGTAATCGGCCAAAGTCTCATTTCGCATGAAGCAGTAAGCAAAGGTAAAGATACCGTTTATTGCTGTGACACCAAACGTGTGGAGGAGAGCATATCTGTTTATCGTGTGTTTTGTGTCAAGCAACCACACACACAGAGCACTGTACTTTTAAAAAAAACGTTTCCGATGTGGAGATAATCTGCAGGGGAGTGATATGCTGTTGTAGGTCAAACTGAGAAAATTATTCACTTGCTTCCAAAGAGTGCAAGAGAGCTAATAGGAGAGAGCAGCCCGCCAGCATCCTTTTACGCTCTGCATAAGCAGAGAATGAACGGCTTAAGCTGTGGCCAAGGCTTTTTAGTTCTGCCGCAGTGAGGTGACTATGCGGCCGGATGTCACTCTAGCACGTGTTAGAGCCAAGCTTTCTATCC